AAGTAGTATTTTAAAAAAATCTAAATATATAAAAGGCTACAAAGATTTATAATCAATTAAAATATTAATTAAGAAAATAGAATAAAACTTCTTAAATTAGATTCAAATGATATTTTAATATAAATAATAATTTTTAAATCTTGCTCAAACTCTTATCGTCTTATGGGTACGTGATTAGGTATGTTAAAAAGACTTTTTGTTCGTGAACAACTCGTGTTCGCTCGTTAAGCAAATGAGTCGAACACGAACACATCTTTTGAGCTCGAAATATAAACGAGCCGAACACTAGCGAGCATTACACCCCTAGTAATTATTGTATATTTAAATATTTAATATTTAAATTTGATATTTACTTGAGTGCATTCTAGTTCTCAATCATATAAGAAGTAAATATGAAAATGTCTTTTTTTTTTTTAAGTTTTAATAGGGGTGATATTTTTTTATGTGAGTTATAATTTTAAAGTATTTACATGCGTGCTACTTAAAATATCTTATTTAGATATTCAGCCTAAAGAAATTTATACTAACCCACATAGTACTTATACTTGTAAACAATATAAGAATATATTCATACTTATCATTTATCTTAACTTTTGGTTATCACGAACATAACCAACACCTCTTATCACATATGTAGTCACAATAGATAGTATTTGTTCAAAGAACCAACTCAGAGCAGGAGGTAGGCAAGAACCATCCAGAGAAAATTAGTAGAAAAGATTAGAGCGTAGTATGTATTTAGAGAAGGTCAGAGAGACAAGATTGCAATAACCACAAGTAGCAGGAACATCTGTTAGCCAATTCATCCCATTGTTGGAGCAACAAGATTCATCATTAAAAAAATTTTAAAAAGACCATTGAGAATTAGAGAATTCCTTCCAGGATGTGAAGGTTCCGATTGAGGGTCTGTTTGGGGCAACTGTAGCTTATTGAATAATCTACTGATAAGCTGATTAAGAATAATCTGCTGATAACTTAGGTGCGGTGACTATTCCAAATTTTTATTTTTTTTTGGAAAATTTAGATCATTGCCAATAAACTCCCACCGCACATAGTGTGAAAACACTATTTTCTGTTTTTTGAAAACGCATAAGCTATCAAAACGCAGTTTACCCAAACAGACCAGTTTACCCAAACAGACAGACCAGGTGTGTTTTCAAAACGTCACCGCACCAAATAAGCTGCCCCAAACGGCCCTGAATCTCCAAAATTATAGAATCATCCCTATGTAATATGCATCCATAGTCATAATAGAGCCCCATGTAGAGATCAAGTCCAGACAAAAGGCACCACTCACCATTCCATTGCATGAAATAAAATAAATAAGTAGTGCATTAAGATATAATGAAATGCAAAAAATAACATTCTACTAGTAGTGAGAGAGAAATCTATTGTCAAACTTATGAAAAACTTATGCAGAAAAAACACCCCAAAACTCTAATCCATTCTAGATGTTAAGCACAAAAAATAGCATAACATGTGTCATAATAGGAACAAATTAGTTACAACAGTTCATCAACCTACCAAAGAGAACCGCATAACCAAACACGACAAAAACTTTGTAGAAAGAGAATTGAATCGACTAGTTTAAATTAATTAGAAAAAAAGATATAGGACGTAGAGATTGTGAAATTATGCTTAATCGGCTTCATTGGAATTGAAGGTGATTAAATCACCAGCAATATTAGTCTCATCCCAAATATTTGATTAGGATTCATGAATCTTCACTCTTCATTTCTGTTTTTGTTGCCATCGTAGGCAATTCATGTAAAGTGTATGTTCTAAAATGCTAAATCAAAACGTTTGGCAAAGTGGAATATTGATCCATTAATCATTGGTGTTGTTCGGGCAACTCTAAATATATCTCAATTTTGAAATGAGTTTTTTGTATCTTTATTTATTTATTTATTTTTTGGGTGTTGATTGATGGTGTCAACCATTTGAGATTATTTGATAGCATTAGGGCAGTCAGAAGAGTTTGTTGTTTGCAAACAGCTTACACTCTAGATAACATCATTATTATTGTTTAGGTAATCTATTGCTGGCATCAACGACGTTTAGAGAGTATTTATATAGTGGTTTACTGGGGGCATTTGAAAATTTTAGGCAATATTTTGTTGTGTTTGTGGAGCCAAAAACATCCCAAAACCTCGATGCCTAAGCACTGGGTTTGGGTGCCTAAGTGTCCATTGTTGGACGCTTGCACCCTTGTTTGGGCGCAAGCAGAGAAGCCTTGGGTGCCCAAGCTCCCAACAAAGCTAGGCGTAGTTTTCTGCTTCCCGAGAGCTTGACGCTTAGGCGCCAAGTCTGGGCGTCTAAGCGCCACGAGCGGTTGACTTTGGGATTTCAGTTTTAATCCTGATTTCGAGCAGATTTCGCAAGAGCTTGGAATTTTCTTCCTGTGTATTCTTCAACAAGCATCTCAGTGAACGGTGAGAAGTGTCGACGAGGTGGATTCGAAGATTTAACGTGATTTTCTTGCGTCTGATTAGTGAAGGAAGATTGTTGAGTGTGTCCTGTAAGTTTCTTTGTGTGTTGAGATGAAACATGTGCGAGTTCCCATAGTAAATTTCTTGATAGTATGACTCCATAGTTTTTCCCATTATTAGGCTTTTTCATGTAAAATTCTTATGTGCTTATCTCTTTGCTATTTATTATATTTTCTGTTCATTCTTTTGCATCATGATTTAGCCTCTAATCGATGATAAAGTGGGAAATTACTTGGTATACAGTTATTATAGGTGTTAAATATGAGATCTATAATTTGTCCGTAAATCCCCGGCCCCAAAAAACCAGAAATCCCAATTTGGCATCTACTTTCTTCGTCGGATCGAAGCCACTGACGCCGAAATTCGACTGATATTCTTCGTCGGAATTCAGCGGAGGGGCCATACTCGGGGAGAGAGAAGCAATGAGTTCTCTGGGGACGGCGAAGGGCATCCTGGAGATCGCCAAATTCGCATTGTACATCGCCATTCCGGCCTCTCTAACCTATGCAGTCGCCACTGATTCCGGCACTCTTCACAAGCTCATGGGATTCGTGAGTCGTACGTCTCTCTCTCTCTCTCTCTCTCTCTCTCTCTCTCTCTTAGGGCATAGTTCGCCCGCGATTATTACTCAACAAGTTTGCTTATTAACAATCTGATGGAAGAGCTAGTTCTGACCTTTTCTTCAATCTCAACTCTCTTATATACAAAAGTCTCCCATGGTTGGGCACGCATTGTAGATTAATTTGGTTATTATAATTGTCTCCTGCATCTGTTTCTTTGTTGGTAAATCGTGGGGATTGTTTAATTCCTTTGTTCATTTGAAAGTTTGGGTTTTTCCCTTTTTGTGGTTATCTGACATGACTAATGTTTAACAAATTAATCTAATGTTTATAAGTAAGAAGTTGGCCTTATGTAAAAAATATAAATAAAAATTTGTGGAAAGTTTACTGAAGTGATAGAGAATAGTAATTTGATTACTCTAAACTGTATGCTGTACAAAGGGATGTATGCATAGTGTAGATAGAATTGATTATGCAAGGATAGTGGTCCCAATGTAGGATAGTGGAGAGGAAAGCAGGTTGTTAAGAATAGAGGAGATGAGCTTGGTTGTTTTAACCAGCTGAGATGCATTATGTGTAATAGGGCCCCTCAAATTAATAATTCGAGCCTTGGATTGTTAATTTGGTTCTGAGATCACGGAATCTTGAGGTTGGTAGCGCTTTGGTCAAAATGTTGGCGATTTGATCATGTGTGGCAGTATGATTCACTGAGATTGTCTTCGTGGAGATTTGGTCCCGAAGAAAGTAGAAGTTGATTTCTATATGTTTCGTTCTGGTGTGGAAGATAGGATTTGTTGTGGTGGTGAGAATAGATGTATTGTCCCAGTAGACTGGTGTCAGATCGGAGATGGGGATGTCAAATTCCTGAAGTAGTTGTTGGAGCCAAATGGTGTATGTGACTGCGGCAGCTACAAGCTTGGTATTCCGCCTTTGTGGACGAGCGTGCTACTCTTTGTTGCTTTTGGAATTTCTAAGAGAATAATGTGCAGCCTAGGAATGTGTAGAAGCCAATGGTCGATTTGTAGCGGCTCCTGCTCAATCACAATCCGAGTAGGTGCGAAGGTGTAGCCTCCCTTTCGCAATTGGTACGCCGTTGTTTAGAGTCCCCTTAAGGTAGAGAATAATTTATTTTAAGAGTTGGAAGTAAATTTATGTGGGATTGTGCATGTGTTGGTAAGCAAATTGATTGCAAATGTGATGTTTGGTCGAGTAATGGTTTCGCATTGTAGGGATTCGATGAGGTTGTGATAGAGGGCTGGGCTGGGAAGAGTTCTATTGGTGGTGATTGAGTTGGAGATTTGGTTTGAAGAGGCGTTTGTATAGGTTTGCAAGTGTCCATGCCGGCTTGTTGCAAAATTGGGGAGAGGTATTGGGATTGAGTCAAGAGCAGCCTTGATTTTGTGTGATGAATCTGTATTCCTTGGATTGAGAGATGGTACTTATATCTTTCATGGAGAATTTGTTGTGGAGGTTTTTGATCAGTATGGTGGAAAATTGTTGTTGTTTCTTGTTATGAGAATGTATTCGACATAAAGAAGTAGAAATTTGTAATGGGTACCTTGGGAGTGTATCAAGAGGGAGGGATCCGCTATACTTTGAAAAAATTACTGGTGTTTGGGATTGCTTGAGAAGGTGGAAAACCATTGTCGGGGAGCCTATTTCAATCTATACATAGCTTTACTAAGCAGACAAACATAGTTGGGACGTTGAGTGCTTTACATTTTTCATATATATAATATCTTCTAATTGTCAGTCAATAAATGCGTTTGATATGTCTAATTGGAGAATCCTAATTGTGGAGGGCAATAGTTAGGAGTAGTCGAATGGTTGGAAACTTAACAATTCTGATTTGTTGTTGGATTTGTTTGATGGTTGTGTTAAGCTGGATTGAAATCATGTTGCAAAAGAGAGCAAATTTCATAGATGTTTCTCTTCTGTATGTCATTGGATATAACCATGTGTAACGAGTAAAGTCTTCAATGAAAAATATATAATAGTTGTAATTAGCAGTAGATAATATTGGGGAGGCTCCCCAAATACATATGTAAATGAAAATGAAAAATTACTTGTAGAGGTAGATATGGGAAAAGGTAATTTGTGACTTTTAGATTGCATGCAAGGGGTACAGGTGGGGGGATTGAGTGATATATGCAATTCTTTGTGGCTGTTAGAGATAGTTTGAAGAATGGTTGGATGTGGGCGACCGAGTCTTTGATGCCAAGGGAATGTATGAGTGGCTGACTGCAGAGCTCAAACTTGCTAGATTTGATAAATGTCATTGTCGATTTTGCATTTATGAAGACTTTTTTTGGTGATCTTGTCCTGAATGTGATAACCATGAGAATTGATGAGATGGTACAATTATTGTCAGTTGCTAGCTTCTGGACGGATAAGAGGTTATGAGATCAGTGTGGATTGTATCGAAGATAAGATAGATGCAGCTTACGGGTGGGATTTGGTAGTATTCCTTTCCCCATGTGAGTGATGGGTAGTGCAGCTGCATTGCCAACTATGATCTATTCAGTTCATGGTAAGATGTGACGATGCTCCTGTATGCAAGATCCATTCATTGGAGGGATATGTGGTAGTTTTCGTGAGCGCCTTCTGCTTCTTGTCAAAGGGAACGTAGCTCATATTCGATCTTTGTTAGCAATAAAATGCGGAGTGCCCAGGTTTCTCACATATCCGACATTGAATATTTGCTTTCGAATTGGGTATACTGTTGTGTGTAGTGGATGGAGTGGATCGATTGGTTGGGTTAAGATGAGCTCTTCCACCAGGTTTGTATTTGGATGTAGCATCATTTGAGTTAAGGGAGAGTAGTGCTAGTTGTGGGGTTGCTTCTTCTTTGGTTAAATCAACAGCAACATTTACATCTTCACTATAGAGTAGTTAATATAGACCGTCAACGTGAATTGGGGTGAGCTAGGTTCATATTACTGCTTCGAAGGAGTTATATGTCGGTGAGAGACCATTAAAGATGTATAGTTTGATGTCTTCTGGCTCAATGGTGGATCCTGCCGCTGTAATTTGATCTACCAACACTTTTACTTCGGTAAGGTATTGGTGCATATTATTTTGCATCATAGATGTGGTGTAGGTCATTTTTTTAGCTGGATCTGGAGGATTGCAGCCGTTTTTTGCAGAGTGTATTAGAAGGATGCAGCGGGATCCAAATTAAGAACATATGGAAGTATATTAGGGGATATAATGGAGAAGATTGCTGTTGAGAGGTTTTGATCTATTTGTTTCCAGACAAGGTATTTTGGGTTGGGTATGAATTAGCTATTGGAATCGATGAGATGTAGGGCTGCTTAGTCAAGAGTGTCGTCTTGGAATGTCTAAGAACTCTTTGCCTGAAAGAGTTTGCTGATTTGGGTGCTCCAAATAGTGTAGTTTTCTGTGGTAAGTTGCGTGGATTCTAGAGATTTGTTGTGAGTGAGAAGGAATTTCAGGGAAGGGGGGGTGTATGAGGTATTTGCGGGCTGGGCAAAATTAATGGTGCTGGTTTGGGATGATGTCATGACTGCTTCATTGGGAAGAGAGTTATTTGAGGAAGAGGAAGAAGAGAGCTGAGAAAAGAGAATGAGGAGAATTCTCAGCCTGCTTTGATATCATGTGGAATGTTTACTGAAATGACTCGATCCGCGGCCTGCGTTTAGTGTAAAAACTCCACTGCGTTTTTGGATAAGCTGCCGAAACATGTTTTCCAAACGGTGAGGCGCGACGCACATATAAGCTGCCCCAAACGGGCCCGAAGTTGAGTGTAGTAGGCATGGAAAGTATATTTGTTTGCTGGTTGTAGTAAGTTGGTTTGAAATCATGTTGCAAAAGAGAGTAAATTTCATAGATGTTCCTCTTTTGTATGTCATTGGATATAACCATGTTTAACAAGTAAAGTCATCAAGAAAAATATATAATTGTAATTATCAGTAGATAATATTGGGGAGGTTCCCCAGACATATATGTAGACTAAATGAAAGTTAAAAGTACTTGTCGAGGTAGATATGGGAAAATGTAATTTGTGACTTTTAGATTGCATGCAAGGGATATTAGAGGAGGAATTGAGTGATATATGTGACTCTTTGTTGCTGTTAGAGATAGTTTGAAGAATGGCGTGTGGGGGTGCCCGAGTCTTTGATGCCAAGGGAATGTATGAGTGGCTGATTGCAGAGCTCAAACTTGCTGGATTTGATAAATGCCATTGTCGATTTTGCATTTATGAAGACTTTTCTTGGTGATCTTGTCCTGAATGTGATAACCATGAGAATTGAATGAGATGGTACAATTATTGTCAGTTGCTAGCTTCCGGACGGATAAGAGGTTATGAGATAAGTGTGGATTGTATTGAAGTTAAGATAGATGCAACTTACGGGTGGGATCTGGTAGTATTCCTTTCCCCATGTGAGTGATGGGTAGTGCAGTTCCATTGCCAACTATAATTTGTTCAGTTCCATGGTATTTTTCTTGTCGTTAGAGATTTGCAAAGTTTGGAGTTAGATGTCATGATGCTCTTGTATACAAGATCCCCTCATTTGAGGGATATTTAGTTGCTTTGAGCGCCTTCTGCTTCTTGTCGGAGGGAACATAGCTCATATTCGATCCGGTGTCAGCAAGAAAAAGCGGAGTGACCAGGTTTCTCACATATCCGACATTGAATTTTGGGTTTGGAATTTCGTATGTTGTTGTTGTGTAGTGGATGGAGTGGATCGATTGGTTGGGTCAAGTGGAGCTCTTCCACCGGGTTTGTATTTGGATGTAGCATGATTTGAGTTAAGGGAAAGTAGTGCTAATTGTGGGGCAGCTTCTTCTTTTGCTAAATCAACAACAACATTTACTTCTTCACTATAAAGTAGTTAATATAGATCATCAACGTGAATTGGGGTGAGCTAGGTTCAGATTGCTGTTTCGAAGGAGTTATATGTGGGTGAGAGACCACTAAGGATGTATAGTTTGATGTCTTTTGGCTCAATGGTGGATCCTGCCGCTGT